TGATCGGTGAAGAACTTTTGGAGATCAGCCTTAACAAACATGGAAAATTAAAAATGTTATTTATATAGAAATATATATATATCTGGCCTTTCCAGATACTCATCTTTTTGTACCTTTATCTTCAAACTGTTATGCTCATACAGAAGATAGTGTGAATGTAGGGTAAAAAATACAAAAGCATGGATGACAAAAAACCAACATTCAAATATGCATACAAAAATACACAGAAATGCTCATACACAATTCATACTAGTGCACACCTACATAAAAAATAATTTATTAAGGGAATATATATATAGATATATCGATGAAGCACAAGCGGGTTTCATACAGGGCAGAGGAACTAGGGATCACAACTTTAATATGAGAATAATTTTTTTTAAATGCACAGAATATAACAAAGATCTTCATGCTTGTTTTATTGATTATAGCAAGGCATTTGATTGTGTCCAGCACCACAAACTGTGAACTATTATGAAAAGTATGGGGTTTCCAGCACATTTAGTGCATTTAATTGAAAATCTTTATCATGAACAACAAGCAGCCATCAGAGCAGCTGGTGAAACATCTGATTGGTTCGAGGTGCAAAAGGGGCTGAGGCAAGGGTGCATTCTCTTACCATACCTATTCAATATATACTCAGAAAATATAGTAAGAAATGTCAAAAATGACCAGACTTGTGACAGTTATGATCCGCTCAAAATTGGTGGCAACCCTATTCTGGAACTCCGCTACGCAGATGACACAGTCCTCCTTTCGAACAGCGTAAAGGGAATTGAAAATTTAACATTGTCTGGACAAAAGCACAGTGAAGATCAAAATCTGTTCTTGAATTTAAAGAAAACGAAAATAATGTCCACAGATAAAACTGGCTGTCACCCAAAAATAACAATTAATAATGAAGAAATTGAAAATGTCACAAACTTTGAATATCTAGGATCGATAATAAACAGCAATGGAGACTGTTCAACAGAAATTAAAAGGAGGATGGCCTTGGCAATGCAAAGATTGAACAGCCTTAAAAGTCTTTGGTTAAGCACCAGCAAGAAGATAAAAATTTTGAGAGCATGCATCTTCCCTGTGGCTACATACGGATGTGAGTCGTGGAATATCTCTCAGCCCTTAAGAAAGAGAATAGGGGCTTTTGAGCTGAAATACTATAGAAAGATTCTTAGAATATCTTGGACAAAGAAGAGGAGAAATATTGACATCTTAAAAGATCTGAACATCAAGGAAGATTGGCTATAAAACAGCGAGAGACTCAGTTTCTTTCAGGCAGACTGTGATGAGAGCGACGTTCCGAAAAGGACCTGCTACATGATATATATATATATATATTAATTAATCACCTCCCTGGTGGTGCTGCCTTTTGTATCAATATACTGATTGTGTGCTCGGGGGTGGGGGGGGGGGGGCATCCTGGGTATGTTAGATGGTAAAGTATCTCTAGCTCTTCACTTCTAATTAACATTGACAGTCTACTACGGCATTGTCTAGTCTGTTTGGCACTGTCTAGTCTACTACTGGCACTGTCTAGTCTACTACTGGCACTGTCTAGTCTACTACTGGCACTGTCTAGTCTACTTGGCACTGTCTAGTCTACTACTGGCACTGTCTAGTCTACTTGGCAGCCTAGTTTACTACTGGCACTGTCTAGTCTACTTGGCACTGTCTAGTCTACTACTGGCACTGTCTAGTCTACTACTGGCACTGTCTAGTCTACTTAGCACTGCCTAGTCTACTTGGCACTGCCTAGTCTACTTGGCACTGCCTAGTCTACTTGGCACTGTCTAGTCTACTACTGGCACTGTCTAGTCTACTTGGCAGTGTATTACTGGCACTGTCTAGTCTACTTGGCACTGCCTAGTCTACTTGGCACTGTCTAGTCTACTACTGGCACTGTCTAGTCTACTTGGCAGTGTATTACTGGCACTGTCTAGTCTACTTGGCAGTGTATTACTGGCACTGTCTAGTCTACTTGGCACTGTCTAGTCTACTTGGCAGTGTATTACTGGCACTGTCTAGTCTACTTGGCACTGCCTAGTCTACTACTGGCACTGTCTAGTCTACTTGGCAGTGTATTACTGGCACTGTCTAGTCTACTACTGGCACTGTCTAGTCTACCTGGAACCCAGAATCATAATCTCATCACCCACATCTGTTATGAAGTTGATTACATCAGTCACAGCTGGTGTGAAGTTGACCACATCCACCATAAAGTGCCAATAAGTCTAGCACCATGTTTATCATGTGCCAATGGTATGACAGGCAACCCTTTATTTTTTATTTTGTTGTTGTTGTCTTTTCCACTCTTGGTAACTTCTGTAGGAACTTCATTTTATTCTGGAGCAGGGCTTCTCATCCAAGTTCAAGTTCTCATGGGCCAAAATGTTGAAAGTAGGCGTCATCATGAGCCAAAGGCTCTGGCCTTTGTCCTAGTGTAAAAAGGTCATTAATACAACTGGCAATGATCCATGGGCCACTTGTTAGACCCCTCTCTCCTTTTCCTCCTCCTTAAATAATCTGAGTGGGATAAGGAGCCATTCACCAAATGAAATGAGCAACAAGTGTATTTATTCGTCACGAATTTAAATTACCTGTGCTAAAAAGAAATAATTGTAAACAGTAAATAAAAAAGTAAAGATAAGACTGGTCTTATCACGTAATTTTTGTTTCACTGTTAACACTTTTTAGAATCACTTCCTTATCTGAGATATTATGAGTTGGATTATCTTTGAATGACTGCAGACACATCCAACCCATAGGTGCTCATATTCCCCTTTCAACATGATGATATTATGATATTCATTCAACAATGATACTTCCGTATGAAGAAAGGACTAACGTGGTCTTAGTCGGTTCCCCATAGAAACAAAGAGTGAAAGAAGCAAGTAATTTATAGCAACAAATATAAACATTTAATTAATGTTACGAGAGGTTTATTTCATCAACACAGAAAATGGGAGTAATAACCCAAATCTGAACACACTTTGTAGTCTAGCGAGGCAGTTATCACAGTAGAATTCCTGGCTGCTTTTCTGGCTGTACGCAGTACCGGCACTTATTTAGGCATCATTTTATGTTTCAGCGCTACTGTAACAGACACAGATCTGAGTGGAGAATTCAGAATACCGGTACCTTTTTTTTAAAGCACTGGTGAGTAACTTGGCACCCCAGAAATTCCACAGAATGATGATAGTTCATGTTCATAGTCCTCATCATTATTAATTTGCTGGCAAATGTGCGGGGTTTACGACAAACACATACGCATGATTCTGAAAAATGTAATCAACATTGTACTTTAGTCTAATAAAACAACAACTGTACTCACACAAGAACTATAAAAGAGGATCCGTGGAGCGAGAAAAGATGAAAAATCCACCAGGGAAATGATGAAATCTGCGAGCAGCCGACAACTCACATGTGCCGGACAGGGAGAAGTAACACGGTATCTCATTGGCTACATTCTCGTAAGCTTCGTTTTATTGGTCCTTGTTTCTAAGATGGCTGCGCCCATAGTAATAATAGTAAATATTGACTACGGAGCTGAAGTGTGAAACCAACAAGACGTTTTAACGCATTATTTAGAACGTTGTAACCATTTGTCAATAGTGTATTATCCTTAGTATAATAATCTGATTTTCAGAGCCCCTGAACCTGCTTTCTATCAATTGTAAATGAATTTTTATGATTGTTACAAGTTCCACCACTTCTCATATTCTCTGTTCTCATTTCTCAGAACATTTTCTTCGCGTTTGTTGAACATGCATCCAATAAACTCCATCAAACAGTGAACAGATAATCATAATGCAGTAATACAAATTACATAACTATTTTAAATAAATAATTACACATTATATAATGTAAGTCTGATAACTCGATGAATGCTTATATCCCAGTTATGACACTGTGGGTTGAGCAGGACATATTTGTGTGTGTGGGCTCTCCTCCGAATAACGGTCCCAAATGATCTACGCAGAAAGTAAACCCAAACAGAGCCTCACTCATATGTAAAATTCGCATTTCTTTTGCAGCGAATCAACCGTGTCAAAAGTAGGATTAATTGCGCACGACATTTTCGCGAAACGCAACAGATTTTTTTACGGCAAAACTATGATTAACTACGGACGAAAAAATTGGCGAAAATACTCCTGATAGCACTATCCTACGGCAGGGCCCGAGTTATATGTAAGTTGCGGGCCGCTTTTCGCCGACTATAGTGCCACCTCCGAGAGTATCCCCCGCGCCGCTACGCACGGCGCGGAAGGGGCTAAACTAGATGGCTAGGACTCACAAGCAGCAGCTACCGCAGCTCCTGCAGCTTCCTCCAATGTATTTGCTCATGAGTCCCAGCCATCTAGTTTAGCCCCTTCCGCGCCGCTCGTAGCGGCGCAGGGGATACCCTCGGAGGTGGCACTATAGTTGCCGGGAACAAAGTCTAAAATTTACCGGAACTACTTCTTCTGTCGGAAGTACCAGCATGCCCTTATTTGCCACGGTCAAGGGGTGGTCGGGATAGTGGAGCGCCATCGTGGCGGCTGCTGGTCTGAGGTTGTCCCGAGGCGACATGCACGTACATAAAACTGCGCATTACTGATCATGTCTTGCCCGGAACGAGAATCGCGGACAAGCCGTGCTGAGTTGTAATGGCGGACAGCGAGAAAGAACAGATATTCGTGCACTATTTGCAACTTCTGTGCCACAATTTTCACATATAAAGGATTTAATTTTTGGTAAGTAGTAGACTTCGCCCTTTTCCTCATACTTTTCGTTCCTTAGTTTTTCCAAGCTACACCTTTTAAATGTTTGAAGGGCAGGATGTAATGAGGCTCTGTTTGGGTTTACTTTCTGTGTAGATCATTTGGGACCGTTATTCGGAGGAGAGCCGTGTGTGTGTGAAAATTACTACATGTTGTTTTACTAAATAGTACTTCATCACTAACGGAGACCTCGTGCTAATTTAAAATTGTGTTTGTTTGCAGATCTTTTTGAGTTCAAGGATGGACAGTTTAAAGAACTATGGCAGTGAATCCGAAGAGGAGACAGCAGAAGACACAATACTGGATTCATCGGAAAAATTTGATACACTAACCTTGAACTTCTTGGGCTTGGAGAAACCAAGACAAACAAAATCAAATGTCTTCAAAATTTCACAGACTTTAGGGGCCCAACCAGAAATTAGGAAGGTGCAGACAAACTGGGGTGAGGTAGACATTCCAGATGGTGACTTTTGGACAGACTTTGAACCAGACAGCACTAACATAAACCCAACACATACAATTAATAACTCTGGTTGTCACACAACTGTTATTTCCAAAAGTTGTGTGATAGCAACAAATTCACAATCATTGCACACCTCTAATTCACCGTGGACTCAGAATATTTTGCAGTACCCAAATTCATACCAGTCCCAGAATGCATTACAGCTACATTCATTAAAAAGAGACATTTATTGCAGTAATAGTTCTGACGAAAGAGAAGTTGGTTTCAGTCGTAATAAACGTGCACGACTTTCTGACCAGAGATCAAGGTTTTCTCATGACTGTCCACATCCTTTAGGTGACCACACCCCAGAGAGACAAGGACTTTCATTCTCGTCCAAAGACCATCACAGCCACCAGAATCTGCGTGAAGAGCTTCGTGATAACTCCTTGCAAAGCCAGCCTGAACCTAAGGAGAAGAGGAAATTGTTTTACATACATAGTAAAGTGGCTCCATATGTGAATTTAACACCGACAAACAAGTGTGCAAACAGGCGTCTCAGCTCCTGGACAGCTCATGATGGGGTTATTAATAGACTGGCCTGGAACATTCCAAGTTTCAGCCATCTGCTGGTTACTGCAGGTCAGTTTCGTGATTAATGTTTTCACTTTTTTAACTTTCTTTTTTTTAATGATTATACATTTTATTATTATTATTATTAATGTGGCTTTAGATATATTTTCATTGTTTTTTTTTTCCGTTTGGAGGGTGAAGGGATGGTAGAGTCCCTAAGGACATCCTGTATGATGAGTTATAGATCGGTAGAAGTGTTGAGGTTGGCTTCTTGTACAGTATGAAGATTTGAAAGTTAAGCATGAGTGGTACAGGTACATAAATGGATTCAAGAGAGCATGATACACAGAGCTTGTTGCATGGAGGGAAAACAGAAAAGGAGTAGAGATACAGAAGAAAATGATTGCAGCTGAGAATCTTGAGCAATAGCACATGACATACATGTGATGACAACAATGCCATGCAATCCCACACTCTAAACTGTGGAAGACAAATGTCCCTCATTTCCTCATTCTCTCTGTGTCCCATTTCAGTACTGTGCTGGTCACTTTTATTTTCCAAGAAATTTCCAGAGAGCTGGGGTGACCTGGGAGCTAAGGCTATCTAAAATCAAATATCCAACTTCATGCAGGTTCGAGTCCAAGGCATTTGGGCCAGCAGGCAAGGTTCTAGCTGCTACACTACAGCAGTTCCTGTTTCTTGCTGAGTAAATGAATAATTCTGGCGTATACATGAGTGTACAAATTGATTTTGACATTTAGTTAAAGAAAATGAGACGTACATTTCTTGGGCTGCTTCATGTTCACTGGCTGTAAATTGTGGTGGGAAGTTCTGGTTTTTGTCCACTTCTGTACTCTGGTCTTGTTCCAGAACCTGAGTGTAGCATGTACATCCATTGTACAGATCTGGCTTATTTGTATGCAGACTGTTGGTTCCTAGCCTCTCAGGCAGACGCACTGACTTCGAAGGAAAGACCCTTAGTAAGTCGAATTTTATGACATGCTTGTTAGGGGGGCAGTGGGTCTATTCTTTCCTAAAGTAGGGCCCTGGAACCCACACGGAGAGGTCAACAATGTGCTGCCCACTTCAATTTTCAAGCAATCTCCTGGTATCCATATTGAGCTGGGTTGACCTGTGAACCTCATTCAGTGAAGAAATCCCAGAGACGATAGAGACTCAAACATGTGACTTGAGGACCAACAGGCAAGCATGCCGCCCACTGCTGCTGTGGCTCCTAAACAACTTTTGCTCTTTACCAGAACAAACCATAGACTGGGTAAATATACGGGTAGTGTGCATATTTTGGATCTTTTCTCCAGGCCATGGCGGCGTAGTGGGTAATGAACAGGCAGACAGATTGGCTGAATCTGCACCACTGGGTGGTGAATTGATACATGACAAGGCAGATGTGGTCAAGGCCCTTTGGGAACAAGCAACGGAATCAGTAGAGATAAAAGATTATTATGGCCTGGAGAGAATGAGACCCCTGGGTGTAACCAGAGGGTCTGGCCGGCTCACTACACTCAGAGGAAAGGCAAGACGGACATATAACTTGTGACCAGTACCATCAGTATTGGAACTCTGTGCTGGCTGCTGAAGATGAGAACGGAGGATGCATGGGAATGCCCTGAGTGTTGTGATGTCAATTCTTGACTCAACTCAACTCAATACACCAGAAGTCATAATTGGCCAATCAGTTGGTTTTGTAAATCTAACTTAAGAACTGTTACCTCTATAGCATTTTGATTGCCTATATAGACCACATTTCCTTTCTGCCAAAATCTCTGTAATCTTGTTAGATTTGATCTGGTGCATACAAATTCTTACAGCTAAAAGTAAAAGAGTAAATGAGATCTGATGTTTGCAAGTTCTAACAGCTAAAAGTAAAAAGTAAAGGAAGATCTGGTGTTTGCAAGTTCTTGCAGCTGAAAGTAACAAGTAAACGATCCTCTTTATGCCTGTGGCATGTTAGGCATATGCTAGACTTATATTTTTGTAGACGATAGACACCCGATTGGTGATGTCAGTATTACCCCAGCCGCCTTTACTTCCCAGGACATTACCTGGTACCCAGACTGGCTGTTCATCATCAATCAGCAGGTCCTTTACAGAATTCGCTCTCATCACGGCACGCCAGAAAATCTCTCCTTCTCTAGATAGTTCAGTATTATGTATAATATGTAAAATATAAGTAAGAAAATCACTATTATGTTGGCATGTTCATATGTGTACGTTCCCAGGGATGGATACTTCTGTGAAGGTGTGGAATGTGTGGTCCAGTCTTGACCCCTGCGTGGCCAGACTGTCGAGTCACAAGAAGGCAGTGAAGCATGTGGAATGGTGTCACACAGGGAGGAAAGTCCTGTCCTGCAGCTGTGACAGGACAGCACAGGTCACTGACATCGAGACAGGTACATGCTGTTACAATGTTGTTTCACTGGAATCCACAGGGTAAAAGGTTAAAAGTAGACCTAGAATTACATGAAAAATCATCATCATGCAGCAGATCCTTTGCAGAACGTCGCTCTCATCACAGTCTGCTTGAAAGAAACTCGGCCTCTCATCAGCTCTCCCACCTTATGCATTTTCATACTCAAGGAGTCATTTATATTCTGGGCACATCTTCATGTCGGTCGGCCACTGCCCCTCCTTCCTGGTACCATGCCCTCTGCTATAGTTTTTTCCAATCTGTCGTGGCGCTTGATATGACCAAAATATTTCAGCTTCCACATGAATAATAGAATTAGAAATTAAGATGATCATCATTGTTCATAATCATCATCACTGTGTGCCATGTCGATAAGCATAGACTTTTTCACCATCTCACACTGCCGAGAATCAAGGATGAGATAAACACTGCCAAAAATTCCAGTTTGTTTGTCCACTGCTGTACTTTGGTCTTTTTTCCAGGACTCGAGTTTGGCCTGCACATCCATTTGACAGATCTGGCTTATATATGTGCAGACTGTTAGTCTCTTGCCTCTAGGGCAGATGTTTTTTAACTTCGAAATAAATGCTTGTCCTATCTGATCAAACTGGATCAATGGCAATGTTTGGAAAACAGATAGTTAGTATCTGTAGCCTACCACTGGTGTCATAACATTTGGCAAGGGAGGATCCACTTAGGCTGGCTGCCTCATCACTTAGAACACTTCTGCTACAAAATCCAATTGGTAGACAGGACTTGGTTGATGACCTAAACTGTGTTGGGACTGAAAGGCAAAAGAAGAATTGTTTTTATACTTGTGTCAGGCCTTTAATGCAGTCAATTTTCTGCAATCCCAGGATACTGTAAAAGTGACCCCTTTCCACGCCCATAGACACATTTGGTGTAAGCAACTAGACCTATATTTAATAGACCATTCGATGTTTTGTGGGTGATGTGGTCAAGTATCATGTAGCCACCTTGACTTTCCTAAATTATACTTGTTATTTAGTTTATGCTGGCCTGGCCTGGACGCCATGGTCATTTTTGAAAACAATCCAGCGGCTTGAGGATTTGAACCCGCAGTCTTCGGTCTTGAGGTGAGCATCCAGCGGCAGCACCACTGGGATTCTATAGAAATTGTTCAAGAAAATATACCTCTACACCCATGTTAATATGGCGGCGTCCGCGGCTTAGGCGTTGCGAGTCCGGCTCGTAATTCCAACATACCGAGATCGAAACCCACTGCTGGCTGCGTGGATGTTTATCGGTGTATGGGGCTTCGCAGGTCGACCCAGTCTAAAAGGGGTACCGGGATAGCTGACCACATTACCCACCAAGTGCCAATGATCTGTACAAATATGAGTGCTGTTCCCAAATGCCCGATGCGCCTAAGGCGTAAAACAGGATCTTTACTTTTTTTTTAAAACTTTTACATGGTAATATATGTTGTTTGGTAAGATACATTTGTATTTTGATGTTAATGCAGTCCTGTTTGTTTGTGTTAAGTCAGTTTCCTATTTTTAATGAATGAATGAATCAAGAACTGACGTCCCTAGACTCGGGACATTCCCACAGGTGCTCTGTCTCCTTCTTCAGTAGCCATCACACTATTAGTGCCAGTTGCAACCTCGTTAAAATTCTGCTTTTGTTTTTCCATCAACATTAATATAACATAGAACCTCTGCTCACCCTCCGCTGAAACAGTCTGTCGAGGTGTGTATACTCTGTGTTTTTTGGTCTGTTTTTGCACTGTTTATCTTATGCCAGAGAGCCTTCGCACACCCACGTTATCATTAAATAGCTCATTGTCTAGAAGTGTGGTAGCAGCCAGCCTATCATTATCCTTCACGCTGAAATATATTTATATAAAAATTTTGCTTTAGTCTTATTTATGTTAATCCTCGTGTATATTCCGGGCTCTCATTGTAGAGAAAACAAGAATAGACCCACTGCCTCCCCAACAAACATGTCGTAAGAATGGACCTATTTGGGTTTTTCTTCAAAGTCCAAGTGCATCTGCCGAAGTGGCAAGGAACCAACAGTCTGCATACAGATAAGCAGAAACTGTAAAAAGGATGCAAAACTCAGGTCCTGGGCATAAGCCAAAGTCCAGAAATGGACGAACAACCCTGTTTTCTGCCGGGGCTTACAGCCGATGTACAAAAACCAATCCAGTTTATGTTAAATATTACAATGTTTTCATTTAAAATGTTTTGTATGTTTATGTTAAGACGGCTTCATATGATGATATTCAAAGGTACATTAAAAAAACTGTTCTCCATTGTAGCCAAGATTTTAGGGACGTATGAACACATGGGTTTTGTCACGGCGGGTCAGATTCATCCATCCAACCCAAACCTGTTTGTGACCGGGACAGATAACTTGGTTGTCAAGTGGGACATGAGGACTCCCCAAGCTCCGGTGAAACATTTCTCTTACAAGGACAAATTTGGACAGGTATGGTTGGGGTTGACATCTTTAGATCATTATGATAGTGTTGATATATATGTGGTATCATTGTTAAGCACTTGTCTGTGGATACCTGTGACCTTTCAAGCTCTTTTTTTAGCAGTTGTTTCCTTTGCATCTGTTCCAGCATGGTTTTAAAAAAAAGGACAGTCCTTTCATCCCAGTGACCTAGAAAAAAAAAATAATGCCACAGATCCATATTTTTAGGAATTTCAGTTTTACTGAAAAACACATTTCTTTAAAAAATAAAGATTTGCACAGGTCACACACAAAAGTCATAACAGTTCCATTTACGGATGGAAACAATTATTTTACTGCATGCACAATAATGTGAGTCATTAATAAACCAGAATGAGGCAAAGAATTTACTGTGTGACATCTCTCTAAGCTTTGAAAAATGATTAGCATGACCTGCTCTTGACCCCGCCACCAGTTACCGCTGTAACTTATAAGAAATTCTGATGTGGTAATTTCTATAAATAAAGCCATTTTTCTCCCCCCAAAAACCTACCTAAATGCTATTTTTTGCAATTATGCTCCTTACAGGTTATGGTTCTGTTTACGTTTCCAGGCCTAGGATTAGAGTAACTTCCCTTGCCATTCATACCTCCTCAGGTCACTGGACCTCTCAAACAAATGTTAGAGGGAGTCATGTTTTCCTTGTTGTGAATGGTTTAACTGTTGCCTCTTACAGCTCACTTGCATAATTATTTTCACGTTCTGCTACCTGCGTAACGGTTCAGGGGTGTGAAAACAGCAGTATTTTTCTATTCCTACGCTCCTTGTAACTGCTTTCTTTCTCTCAGGAGGAAGCCACTGTCAACAAACGTAGGAATACAAAAACATCCCAGTTTGATAGCCAAGAATCATTGTGCCTGCGACTCTCCCTCCTCCCCCCCCCCCCTCCCCGCAGTACTTCTTACTTGTACACAGGCGCCTGTTGCTCTCGAGAAAGAAGAGCTCCACAAAATTGCCCTTACTACTTTAGCACTGGGTCAGATCTTCCTTAGATATGTATGTCAGTACTGCCTGTTTTCTGTTAACATCAGATGTTAGATGGCGTATATCAAAGCTGACATCCTCTATTGTGGGGAAAATAAAAATAGAGTCACTACCTCCCTAACAAGTAATGGTTGTTTGTCCACCTCCGAAAGTTTTGTGTGCACATCTGTTTTACAGGTCTGGCCTATTTGTATGCAGGCTGTTGGTTCCTCACCTCTCAGGTAGATGCACTCTGACTTCAAAGAAAGCAACCCTAATTAATCTACTTTTATGACATGCTAGAAAGGAACCCATATGTGGATCTCCTTTTCAAATTCTCCCATGAGATGTATGTGAGATGTTGTATGAGGATTTTACTCTATTTGTCCAGGTTCAGGACCTTCTGTTCATCAACAACGGTCAAGAATTCGTCTCCTGTTCTGACCTAGTTTCACGGGACTGCGCCGACAGAACTGTCATGGTTTGGGATCTGAGAATGGGGACTGTACTCTCCAATCAGATCTATCAGGTTTGTTTTTGACTTGATCACCTCTTTCAGTCCCAAGGGGTTTAGCTTCAGAGACCCAACAGGTGGTGAAGATGTGTACTTGGCACATTTTGTGTTCATGGGGCTTCTAGATAGGAATCTAAGTGTTCCTTGGGACTGAAAGGGTTCACATAATTGTTTTTGGTCCAGAATAAGCATTAATTTCTGGTATTAATTTGATTTTGTTTCGTTTTTTTTTTTCTATTTGCAATCTTATATAGTAACATGGCATGTTTTGGGATGGGAAGAGGTGTTTATTAGGAGTTGGTGTTGTGAGACCAGACTGGCCGCCTTACTGAAAAAAAAAAACATTTATTCACAAAACCATGTCAGTCTTACAACACATGCAAAGTATCAGCTGGCTGAAGGTTGAAGGCCTTTGTTGTTTAAAAAAAAAATGCAAAAGAAGAAAAAAGATATAGGAATGTTTTATCTCTAGAGTAGGATGTAGAGGGAAATGAGACGTTGTTGACTTGTACTTCTAACCCAGGATGTAGAGGGAAATAAGATCTTATAGTTTTGTACTTCTACCCTAGGATGTAGAGGGAAATAAGACCTTGTAGTCTTGTACTTCTACCCTAGGATCTGGAGGGAAATAAGACTTTGTTGTCTTGTACTTCTACCCTAGGATGTAGAGGGAAATAAGACCTTGTTGTCTTGTACTTCTGCCCTAGGATGTAGAGGGAAATAAGACCTTGTTGTCTTGTACTTCTACCCTAGGATGTGGAGGGAAATAAGACCTTGTTGTCTTGTACTTCTACCCTAGGATGTAGAGGAAAATAAGACCTTGTAGTCTTGTACTTCTACCTTAGGATGTAGAGGGAAATAAGACTTTGTTGTCTTGTACTTCTACCCTAGGATGTAGAGGGAAATAAGACCTTGTAGTCTTGTACTTCTACCCTAGGATCTGGAGGGAAATAAGACTTTGTTGTCTTGTACTTCTACCCTAGGATGTAGAGGGAAATAAGACCTTTTTGTCTTGTACTTCTGCCCTAGGATGTAGAGGGAAATAAGACCTTGTTGTCTTGTACTTCTACCCTAGGATGTAGAGGGAAATAAGACCTTGTTGTCTTGTACTTCTACCCTAGGATGTAGAGGGAAATAAGACCTTGTTGTCTTGTACTTCTACCCTAGGATGTAGAGGGAAATAAGACCTTGTTGTCTTGTACTTCTACCCTAGGATGTAGAGGGAAATAAGACCTTGTTGTCTTGTACTTCTACCCTAGGATGTAGAGGGAAATAAGACCTTTTTGTCTTGTACTTCTACCCTAGGATGTAGAGGGAAATAAGACCTTGTTGTCTTGTACTTCTACCCTAGGATGTAGAGGGAAATAAGACCTTGTTGTCTTGTACTTCTACCCTAGGATGTAGAGGGAAATAAGACCTTGTTGTCTTGTACTTCTACCCTAGGATGTAGAGGGAAATAAGACCTTTTTGTCTTGTACTTCTACCCTAGGATGTAGAGGGAAATAAGACCTTGTTGTCTTGTACTTCTACCCTAGGATGTAGAGGGAAATAAGAACTTGTTGTCTTGTACTTCTGCCCTGGGGGGGGGGGGGGGGGGGGGGGGGGGGGGGGGGTTTATTACAAAGGATAATAGACCCTGTATGAAAACAGAGAGCCTTGCTTATAACGTCAAAACATCCAGTTTAAGAATGGCAGTAAGGCCAGCTTTCAGATGGCTTGAGAGTTGCACAGCCCAACATGTGGTCATTGTAACAGACTCCCAAAGTATGCTTCGGAAAATTTTAACTGTATCCTTCGCTCACAGGGGCTGTCATCGCTTGATAAGATTAATCAGGAGCATATCATGGATTTTGTGTCCGGAATATTCGTGTGTGTGGGGTAATGAGAAAGGCGATAGATTGGCTGCTGTTGCTCCTATGGATGGCGAGCTTTGTTGTGATAAAGTGGAGGTTGTGAAGGCTCAAGGGGGGTCAAGTGTGCAGTGCAACAGAAGAGACCAAAGATCCAGACAGTGACAAATTCAGCGAGGGGTAGGCAGGGGGTCTAAAAGATATTCAATACTGCGGTGAAAACATAGGCAGACTTTTAAATCGGGTTGCTACAGTTACTGTTAGCATGTCGACTCTTCGTTGATTACTGACGAAGGAGAGTGAGCATGTTTGGGAATGACCTGAGTTCAGAGATGTCAATTCTCAATTCATTAATTATTTATGTTAAAGCAGTATTGTCAGTCAGTATAGATCATCGTGGTCTGGAGAGAATGTTGCGGCAGTGGGGAGTGACCTGAGTACAGAGATGTCAATTCTTAATTCATTAATTATTTATGTTGTCATAAAGCAGTATTGTCAGTCAGTATAGATCATCGTGGTCTGGAGAGAATGTTGCGGCACGGGGAGTGACCTGAGTACAGAGATGTCAATTCTTAATTCATTAATTATTTATGTTGTCATAAAGCAGTATTGTCAGTCAGTATAGATCATCATGGTCTGGAGAGAATGTTGCGGCAGTGGGGAGTGACCTGAGTACAGAGATGTCAATTCTCAATTCATTAATTATTTATGTCGTCATAAAGCAGTATTGTCAGTCAGTATAGATCATCATGGTCTGGAGAGAATGTTGCGGCAGTGGGGAGTGACCTGAGTACAGAGATGTCAATTCTTAATTCATTAATTATTTATGTCGTCATAAAGCAGTATTGTCAGTCAGTATAGATCATCGTGGTCTGGAGAGAATGTTGCTGCAGTGGGGAGTGACCCTGTGATCTGGCCCACACTCAGAGCAAAGGCAAAACGGGCATAACAGTCAGACTGCTGCTAGCACTATTAGCGGTGGAACTTTGTACAGCTGCTGAAAAGGGGAATATAGCACTTATGGGATTGTTTCAGCATGCTGTGATTTTAGTTTTTAACACATCAGTTGACCAAAACTTTATTTTGAAGTAAAAATTCTAGTCTATTTCTGTGTTATGATCAAACCCAAAATTTAGTTATGAAAACTATGAAAAAATGAACAACAAAGTGATAAGACACCCCTGTTCCACACAAAAAGTTATCCTGAAGTCAAAAGATGCTTCTTTGCTTTGTATGGCTGGCAGTCTTGCCATGTTTACGTCAGTCCTGCCATGTTTATGTCAGTCCTGCCATGTTTATGTCAGTCCTGCCATGTTTATGTCAGTCCTGCCATGTTTATGTCAGTCCTGCTATGTTTATGTCAGTCCTGCCATGTTTATGTCAGTCCTGCCATGTTTATGTCAGTCCTGCCATGTTTATGTCAGTCCTGCCATGTTTATGTCAGTCCTGCCATGTTTATGTCAGTCCTGCTATGTTTATGTCAGTCCTGCCATGTTTATGTCAGTCCTGCCATGTTTATGTCAGTCCTGCCATGTTTATGTCAGCCTTGCCATGTTTATGTCAGTCCTGCCATGTTTTTGTCAGTCCTGCCATGTTTATGTCAGTCCTGCCATGTTTATGTCAGTCCTGCCATGTTTATGTCAGTCCTGCCATGTTTATGTCAGTCCTGCCATGTTTATGTCAGTCCTGCCATGTTTATGTCAGTCCTGCCATGTTTTTGTCAGCCTTGCCATGTTTTTGTAAGTCTAGTCATGTTTATGTCAGCCTTGTCATGTTTATGTCAGACTTGTCATGTTTATGTCAGACTTGTCATGTTTATGTCAGACTTGTCATGTTTATGTCAGACTTGTCATGTTTATGTCAGACTTGTCATGTTTATGTCAGACTTGTCATGTTTATGTCAGACTTGTCATGTTTATGTCAGACTTGTCATGTTTATGTAAGTCTTTATATTATAAAACGTTTGTTTAGGAGCTGTACGTATGCACAAGATTGAAGACTAACCCCAACAGCTCACAATTCCTGGCTCAGTCTCATGCTGGCTATGTGGCTTTGTTCTCCACCACCCCACCGTACAAAATGGACAAGTCCAAACGATACGAGGGTCACAAGGTGAGACAACCCAACTGTGGTTTCTTTGTCTATGTCTATGTCTTAAAAGAAATTTGTAATATGAGTTTTACTAGATATTTGTCCATTATACATTAGTTGTCTTCTTCTGTCCTACTGCCTATGTTGTGAAGTATCACAGAGAGGAGTTAGATGTAGTTTTCTGTCTTTTGCTAGTTGTGGAGCTTGTGTTAATGTCATATTTTCTAAAGCCTCTCTTTTACTCTCTCCACCCATGTCTTTCTTGGTCAGCCTCTTTTCTTGTAGCCTTCTGTTATTGTATAGTACGCTTGAGCTGCTGGCTGATTTTGTTATATTTTAAACTGACCAAACCATTTTATTTTTTCTTGTTTTATTAAATCATTTACCAGTACCCTGAAAAGCTAACCCAAACAACACATGCTACAGAAGATGGATTGCGTTGGCCGAATGGCAGCCGTGTTGTATACAGCCACAACACATTTACATCTTCGGATAAACGCAAAAGAAGATGTGTACTGTGCCTACTGTTGTTCTTAGTACTTTATTAGTGACTTTTTCTTCTTGTTTCTGCCGCCAAATTTCTTATGTGTCTCTTCTCACAAGTAGTTGGATTATGTTTTTTTTTAGGACTGTCTGTACATTCTTACTAGTATTTGTTCCCAAACTGCCTACTTGATGGTATCGTAGCCTTTTCCCACATTCTTGGAAGTATAAAACATTTCAAAATCATGCTTAACCTCCCTCACCTGGATCTACACACCTGGCCATGCTGGTGTAAAAGGTAATGGGCTAACTGGCAAACTGGCAAGTAGTGCATCAACATGTCCGGGATGAAGCATGGACACAGCAAGGATCGTCAACACTGTGCAGTCTGAGCTAGTAGATAGCTGAATCTCTGACACTAACACAGTTGCGTGACCTGGGAGTAATGCGTGGTGAAGTACATCTGTGCCGCCTTTGAGCCCGTGATAGAAGACATTATAACCAGCTCCTCTTGGGAACAATCAGTAAAAGTACCTTGGAATGGCTGCTGCGTCTCAGGACTGCACACATGAATGCCCAGTGTGTAGTGATGTCGACTGTGATAACAAAATAGCACGCCTGGAAGATCTTGGGTTAATTTCATAGACTGTACCATTCAAGTCACAAGTGAAATTTCTATGGCGATCCCAGGAGATAGTTGCAGGAGCTGTAGAGTTCATGTTTTGTGTGATGCTGTCAAGCTGAACCATACAGGATATAACTAGGAGTGAAGTCGATGCTCTAGAAAGTTGAATTGAGAATCAACATCATACCATAAGCACTGATGGTGCTAGTAACAGTCTGATCGTATATCCTTCATGCCTCTCCCTTGAGTGCTGAGCATCACGGAGATTCCCTGGTCACTTCTCCCAGCACCGCTTTTCTCAGACAATCCTCTACACCAGTGGTTCTCAACCTGCCGGTCACGACCTTTTTTTTTTTTTAGTCAAACGACCTATTCACAGGGGTCGCCTAAGACCATCAGAAAACATATTCATTAAAGTTATGTAAGAAATAATTGTTTGGGGGTCACTACTCCAGACTTTCCCTAACATCCTTAAGCATGAAACAGTAGATTTGTTTAGGAGTAAACTGCTTCAGTTATTTTTTGAAATTTTTTTTTTTTAGATTGAAGGACACTGCATAGGATTTGACATTAGTCCGGATGGAACTCTGGTCTATAGTGGCAGCGCTGGGAATGATGTGCACTGCTATCACCAGAACAGTGGCAAGTTGTTGCGGAAGTTGTCCTGCAAAAATGACATTGTCACAGATGTTGCTTGTCACCCGGTTCTTCCATCATGCCTGGCTTCTTGTACGTGGGGTGGGTCTGTCAGTTTGTGGATGTGAGGGTATATCTGTCAGTTTGTGGATGTGAGGGTATGTCTGTCAGTTTGTGGATGTGAGGGTGGATCTGTCAGTTTGTGGATGTGAGGGTGGGTCTGTCATTTTGTGGATGTGAGGGTGGGTCTGTCAGTTTGTGGATGTGAGGATGGGTATGTCAGTTTGTGGATGTGAGGATGGGTATGTCAGTTTGTGGATGTGAGGATGAGTCTGTCAGTTTGTGGATGTGAGGATGGGTATGTCAGTTTGTGGATGTGAGGATGGGTATGTCAGTTTGTGGATGTGAGGATGGGTATGTCAGTTTGTGGATGTGAGGATGGTCAGTTTATGGATATAAGGATGGGTATGTCAGTTTGTGGATGTGAGGATGGGTATGTCAGTTTGTGGATGTGAGGATGGTTATGTCAGTTTGTGGATGTGAGGATGGGATGGTCAGTTTGTGGATGTGAGGATGGGTATGTCAGTTTGTGGATGTGAGGATGGGTATGTCAGTTTATGGATGTGAGGATGGGATGTCAGTTTGTGGATGTGAGGGTATGTCTGTCAGTTTATGGATGTGAGGGTATGTCTGTCAGTTTGTGGATGTGAGGGTATGTCTGTCATTTTGTGGATGTGAGGGTATGTCTGTCATTTTGTGGATGTGAGGGTATGTCTGTCAGTTTGTGGATGTGAGGGTTTGTCTGTCAGTTTGTGGATGTGAGGGTATGTCTGTCAGTTTGTGGATGTGAGGGTGGGTCTGTCAGTTTATAGATGTGAGATGGTTATGTCAGTTTATGGATGTGAGATGGGTCTGTCATTTTGTGGATGTGAGGGTATGTCTGTCATTTTGTGGATGTGAGGGTATGTCTGTCAGTTTATGGATGTGAGGGTGGGTCTGTCAGTTTGTGGATGTGAGGGTGGGTCTGTCAGTTTATAGATGTGAGATGGTTATGTCAGTTTGTGGATGTGAGGATGGGTCTGTCAGTTTATAGATGTGAGATGGTTATGTCAGTTTGTGGATGTGAGGATGCGGTTGTCATTTTGTGGATGTGAGGATGGGTATGTCAGTTTGTGGATATGAGGATGGGTCTGTCAGTTTGTGGATGTGAGGGTGACTCTGTCAGTTTGGGGATGTGAGAGTGATTCTCTCATGTTTTGTTTATTTATTTTATTGTTAGTGTGATATTGTGTGATATGAAGCTCATACCAAAGAAATGTATATGATATGAAATAAAAGGTTTCTCCTGTTGAAAGTTTACCAGTAGATTGGTTTCAGGATTTGTTTTCTCATATTTTCAAAGAATAATAATTGATTTTAGTTATAATTTCCACAAAGACTTTTTAAAGCTTTGTTTTACGGTAGCTTGTTGCAGGCCTATGTGTGTAGTGTGTTCATAAAGTGTGTCAGATGAGACAATGAAACCTTCTAGACTTGCTCATCAGCTGCATTGAAAATATAGGTGTTTTTATTGATAAGCTACTGTTTTTTTTTTTTTCAAAGATCATATGACCAGGGGAATAAAGGAGTGCTGGAAATCACTCAAATCCATGGCTAAGTTACAGAGCTATCAGATTATCAGTTGTGATTTCAACTTCATGTTTATATGAATAGACTTTCTCAGCCATGTCAGGAAGAATAGGCACACACAAAAAAATGTAATGGATATTATTGCACTGCTTTCTCTGTCTGAAACAACGCTCTAAGCAACAGCAGATGTTGAATTTGCTGAAAATTTTATGACACCGGAGTCAATATGTTTATGTTAACATATAAACTGCTTTCTACAATTGCGTTAATTGCTGTGTTTGGCCAGGTGGTGTCAAGTGGGTCGTGAAACAATTGACCTTGTTTTGGTAGATTGCAGGTGTGAGAATGGTTGAGAAACAATTCTCAGTATGTGGTGTGTAACTACCAGTGGTGTGCAACTACCAGTGGTGTGCAACTACCAGTGGTGTGCAACTACCAGTGGTGTGCAACTACCAGTGGTGTGTAACTACCAGTGGTGTGCAACTACCAGTGGTGTGTAACTACCAGTGGTGTGTAACTACCAGTGGTGTGCAACTACCAGTGGTGTGCAACTACCAGTGGTGTGCAACTACCAGTGGTGTGCAACTACCAGTGGTGTGTAACTACCAGTGGTGTGTAACTACCAGTGGTGTGTAACTACCAGTGGTGTGCAACTACCAGTGGTGTGCAACTACCAGTGGTGTGCAACTACCAGTGGTGTGTAACTACCAGTGGTGTGCAACTACCAGTGGTGTGCAACTACCAGTGGTGTGCAACTACCAGTGGTGTGCAACTACCAGTGGTGTGCAACTACCAGTGGTGTGCAACTACCAGTGGTGTGCAACTACCAGTGGTGTGCAACTACCAGTGGTGTGCAACTACCAGTGGTGTGTAACTACCAGTGGTGTGTAACTACCAGTGGTGTGCAACTACCAGTGGTGTGTAACTACCAGTGGTGTGCAACTACCAGTGGTGTGCAACTACCAGTGGTGTGTAACCTTTTTCAGCTGGCACCATGCTTGAGTATATGTCAAGATCCCTCACATACCCCCCCCCCCCCCTTTCCGGCATATTTTTCTTTGAATATTACAAAATATGATTAAAAAGAGGCAGACAAAAAAAAGGTAAATCACATATACTGTTAACAAGAACATGCACATAATTCAAACTGTCACATAACAAAAGAAACAGTTACTAACAGCTGGTAATTTAGTGTCCAGATATTAATGTATGGTTCACACAGCTTTGTGTTGATGATATCTGCTATTTTTGGTCTGACATTGGACAAGGCAGATCACTCTCCACATCAATCTACAAGCGCTGTTTTGTTTTCCTGACTGTTGAAGCTGAAAATCATGATCATTACAGGTACAAATATTCTCAATTTCAAAATTGCCTGTCATTCCCTGGAAACCTTTTCATGACCTCTTCCACCCTCCACTCCCCCCCCCCCCCCCCCCCAATCACACTTTTTGTTTTAAAGATTGGAGAGCACTATTCTAAACAAGTATAAAATTTCATTATGATATAGATGCGAACCTAAGAGTAGCAGGTGAGAATCTCTTTACTGTACTCTCACGGATTCTATTTTCTCCCATATTGATTCTGGGACCTCAGCCTGTGGACACAAAAAGACAGATCCACTGCTCCCTGGCAAGTATGTCCTAAAATGCAAGTAATTAAGAGTTTGCTGTAATCACATGTCCACAGACCTTACCCAAAACCTGAAAAGACACATCTATTCAGGAATGGATTCTTGGAGGGAGCAGAAAAACGTGGAGGAGCTGGTTCAGCCATCGTGCTGCAAGATGGGACCACAGTAGAAAGAAATATCATGTGTCTCAGGAAAACTCTTGACAAACTTCAGAGCAGAGCAGCAAGCAGTTATTGATTCAGCCAAAGTGCTTGAGAAAAGACAAATTAAAAACAAACAAAATTGTTTTTCTGTGTAACTGCATGATTGTCCTCCAGGCGACTCAGAGGGATTCACGAGACAACATAGAGAGAGAACTGACCCACCAGCTAAACACTCTTAGAAAATAGTCAAATTGTTCTCCAGTTGATCCCACTCACTGCAGAGTACCAGGAGAGGATTTAGCAGATAGACCTGCAAAAAACTGAACAAAAGAGAAACAACACAGGAATTGTGGAACAAAACAGATAGGAAACATCCAAAAGACTCCATCAGCAGACTCAACAGATTGCAACACACAATAATTTTGCGTCTCCGAGCAGGACACTGCAGGCTCAACTACCACATGCAAAAAATAAAGTTTGTACAGTCCTCACAGTGTGCTTGTCATACAGGACCACAAACACCTGAGCACATTCTGCAGACCTGCGCACTCTACCTACAACTTCAAAGTGAAACCTGGCCTTAAGAGCAAAGTGTGCTGAGCAAGCTATTGGAAACCATGAAGGACCTGCAGCTGACTTGCGAATTCACAGAGGCAACCCACCTGATGGTCTGACCTGAGTATACGACACCGATTTCAAAGAAGAAGAAGATATGTTGGGCCAAAAGGTGCCGATATCACTGTCTGGCTGTTAACTACAACACAGCATGCCCACCACTCTTTTAAGTGTCCATTCATGAGTTATATCAACAGAAGAGATGTAATGGAGAAATTTGCCTTTTTGTGAAAATTTAGGGCGGGGGGGGGGATCTTTAATAGCTAGGCTTGATGAGACTCAGATCAGGGATGTGTCCAGGAGTGTATCAGTGATGTGTCCAGGAATGTATCAGTGATGTGTCCAGGAGTGTGTCAGTGATGTGTCCAGGAGTGTATCATTGATGTGTCCAGGAGTGTATCAGTGATGTGTCCAGGAGTGTGTCAGTGATGTGTCCAGGAGTGTATCATTGATGTGTCCAGGAGTGTATCAGTGATGTGTCCAGGAGTGTATCAGTGATGTGTCCAGGAGTGTATCATTGATGTGTCCAGGAGTGTATCAGTGATGTGTCCAGGAGTGTATCATTGATGTGTCCAGGAGTGTATCAGTAATGTGTCCAGGAGTGTATCAGTGATGTGTCCAGGCACGTATCACTGATGTGTTCAAGCACGTATCAGTGATGTGTCCAGGAGTGTATCAGTGATGTGTCCAGGCACTTATCAGTGATGTGTCCAGGAGTGTATCAGTGATGTGTCCAGGAGTGTGTCAGGGATGTGTCCAGGAGTGTATCAGTGATGTGTCCAGGAGTGTGTCAGGGATGTGTCCAGGAGTGTATCAGTGATGTGTCCAGGAGTGTGTCAGGGATGTGTCCAGGAGTGTATCAGTGATGTATCCAAGAGTGTATCAGTGATGTGTCCAAGAGTGTATCAGTGATGTGTTCAAGAGAGTATCAGTGATGTGTCCAAGAGTGTATCAGTGATGTGTCCAGGCACGTATCAGTGATGTGTTCAGGCACGTATCAGTGATGTGTCCAGGAGTGTATCAGTGATGTGTCCAGGCACGTATCAGTGATGTGTCCAGGAGTGTATCAGTGATGTGTCCAGGAGTGTATCAGTGATGTGTCCAGTAG